CTTAGAGTTTGGGATGGATAATTGGGTTTTTCTGAAAGTATCACCTATGAAGGGGTGATGAAATTCGACAAGATTGGAGGAGTCAATCCGTAGAGAGAGCTACTTGGGAAGCAGAAGCAGTCATAAAGGCCAAGTATCCTCATATCTTTCCTTCAGATTCCGTTTCAACTTGAGATAATAGTTTCCTCTCCAGTCTCTCAGTTTACTCTTGCGTAAAATCAGTCTCAGTATCTTGTTCCTTCAGTTGTTCTTGCATTTTCAGCATATTTGCATGTTCTTAGAACTCAGTTTAGTTAGATATCAATTTCTAGTACTTAGTAGTAGGGATTGCAGCTCCTTCCCTGCATACACAGCTAGTTTAGTCTTCATTCGAGGAAGAATGTTCACAAGGGGGACACATTGTAACACCCTAGATTCGAGAAAGGAAATTTTTTTCCAGATTTTCAAAAGTTGCAGGTGCCATCGACGGAGGCCACCTACGGACCGTCAGTCGACTCATGGGCCCGTCAGTTAGCTCCATCGATGGTTTAGTCAACTTTTAGTTTCAGAAAACAAATTTCATCCCTCTGACAGCCGAACCACGACTGACAGGATGGACCGTCATTCAGCTCCGTTGATGGGCCAGTCGACTTTTTAGTTAGGGGTACTTAGGTCTTTTTCTAATTATTTTAACCCTAAACTATTTCATTTTGGTCAGTTTTAGCCTATTATTCTAGTCAGATTTTACCCTAAACCATTATTCTTTGGAATTCACCAAGCTTAGAACAAAAGAGGAAAAAAGGCGCCAGTTTTCCCCAAGAACGACCAACAAGTTCCTTCAAGTTCCAGCCCTGAAATAAAAATATTTCTCCGTGAAATTCATCACCGGGTATGTGGGATTTCACTGGTGGATTCCTTTCATCCACTAGGTCCTTAGAATTCAGTCAGATTCTTGATTCGCTATATCTTGCTTAGACCTAGGGTTTCTAAAACCTTAGATATTAGTTGTGATTTAGCTGTTAGAATATTCCAAATCAGATTATCATGTTTTCGTAGAATCATTGCTTAGTTCTTTGCATGAAACTCAGAAACCTAGTGGTGTAGATTCTCTTAGTTCACGAATTACACATGCTAGGTCGGTTAAACAGATATATATGCTCCAGTTTTGAATGTCACATTATCAGTATATTTCAGCATGAACCCTATTTTTGAGTTATAAATCTTGATAAGCTTTTTAAAGCCAACACTTGAGTTCTTAAAGATGAGTTTTGATAAAGGAGTTTTCTAAAACATGATTAGTATGACAATTGAGTGTGCCATCAATGTATGAGCAGTATTGTATCTAGATATACCATCAATGTTTATGCAGTATGATATCCCGCATCATCAATGATCATATTATAATATGATTTTGAGTTATTTTGAGGAAGAGTTTTCAAGTATGAGTATCTACATGTTAGTATTTTGAGCTATTCAGTAGTTCAGTCATAATGTATCATATACATACTTAGTTGGGAGTGGCCTTAATACCGAGTTGGACTAGGGTCAATCACCCTCATAGTCCCAGAACTATGTGCCCTCGTAGGTTAAATCCCCTCCGTGGGCATCATATTTAGTGATCACGCCAGTTAAGCCTTTATACCTCTAGCAAGGTATACTAGGTCCTCTCGATAGGGTGTATACATCAGACTCCACGTTTAGCTCACGTGGTTTTATGTCGGCTAATAGTAGCTCCCACAGTCAGATTCTACTATATTGACCAGGTTATCAGTTACAGTTCAGTATTCAGTTTTAGCATGTTATGAATTTGGTCATTGCATTTAGTTTAGTTCATATTCAGTATCTTCAGTATATTCATCATGTTCATCTTATATCATTGCTCAGTATGCTTTGTTCAATTATGTATATTGTTCAGCTTTATTCTATCATGCATGCTCAATACCTTTTAAGTACTGACGCATACTCTGCGCTACATATTCATAAATTTATGTTTTGGAATAATTGTACGTCTTTTTGAATTTTTTAATACCACAATGCCAGCCATTTTGACCATAAGGAAACAATAGTGAATATTGCAATGGGTCATTACATCCATAATAGTAATTTACCAATTGACTTTTGTTACTATGAGTGTAAATTCGAATATATGGTGTGGGAATTTTATCATTTAATTGATCTTCTATCCAAATTGCCGCAACTTCGGATGCAATTGGTAAGTTATGTGTTCTTTGGTCTAAATTGGAACTTGAATTTAAAGCAATATAAAATTCGGATAAATTTGGAACAACTGTTAACGATCTTAGAAAAGTAGAATAAGGATTAACTTTTAGTATATCCATCAGCTTTGTAACAATCAGCTCATTAAGATTATCTGATAACGTCATTCGATTTGTTAACTCATTTTCATTATCATAGAAATATAACGGTAAATTCTTTGCTTTTCCTGCTGAGGGTATCAAATCATCAATGAAGTGATACATTTGTCCTTGGACTTTAAATGTATAGATGCCATGATTTCTCTTTGCTAATTCTCTATCATAATGTACTCCAAGTGAAGTGAATGCGAACATATTATTGTAGGCTCTACTGTAAGTGCGAAAATGTTGAGATTCTTTGGAGTACCCAAGAACAAATCTCGCAACTCAGTAGGCATGTTTTGACAAGTTAGTCTAATTGATCCATTATTACAACAAAAACCTGGTGATTCATATTGAAACCTTTTTGCTGCACAAAATTTGCAATTTGGAACTTTCTTTAAAAGTAAGTAATCTTTTGACAATAAATTATCATTTTGTAGATTGACTTCTAACTTATTTCTACCTGTGCATGGTAAAAAGCAATTATTTGTTGTATAATTGCACAACAATACATGTTTTTTTATTACTTTGGTAGAAAGAAGCATACCTCTATTTGCAGTATATCTTGAGCTTAATTTAGTTGCAACATGAGATTGATCCTAGGTCCCGTGTCCGCATCTTGGGGGTAGCTCGGGGCGTGACATAAAGTCTCCTCTATTCTTCTTCGGCCTATCCCTTTCTCTTATAAAATCCACTACAATTAACCTCTCACATTTAATCCTTCATGTACAAGAACCATCTAAGGCTCGCTCTCCTCATCTAATCCACCACGGAGGCCACACCCATCTTGTCCCAAATATCTTCCTTCCTAATCTTACTACCTAGTTATCTTGTCCAATTGACAACATATATAATGGTAGTGGAAAATACCTATTTTTAGGCCTCCAATTTAATGTATACTCAATGTTAGTTTATTGTTTTTCAAGTTTGTTCGCTTCAGACACAACATCACTCGTACATGATTAAGGTTGAAAAGATCGCATATGACTTCAAATATTTTTGTTTGAAATATGATCTTGTGAAGGACAAACATTGAGCACTTTTGCCTGAAGTTTGGTATGAACTGTCAAGTCCAATTTGAGAGTTTTTTCTTGAGTTTGGGGTGAGTCTTAACTTTACAAGATCAAACTTCGAATATGTTTGATTGAGGTTATTACCTTAGCAAGGCTTCACATATATAATGGCTTGTAAAGATTAGTTCCAGACATTTTTACTGAAGTAGGTCCCTTGAAAGCCAAATTTAGATATTTTGGCATAAAGTCAGGGCATGTATTTGCCCCAAATTCATACACATGTGATCGAAATTCAATAAACCAATTGAAGAAAAAAAGAAAAAGAGAAAAAAAAGAGCTAAAAGTTTTGTGCAAATTTTAATTAAGTAGATTGATTTTCTAATTCTGTAATTTTTTTACCAAATCTAAATAGTGCATATAATATTTTTTTTGGGTATCTGAATTTAGATAATAGTATTAACTTTACGTTTATGGATTATCAATAAATGGTTATTTTTGTCAGTTGACCTAATTCAAACATATATGACGACGGGTGGTTGCAATGGTCGTGTTGCTAAAGGAGGAGTTTTTTCTGAAGCTTGTTAAAAGAGGGTGCCAATTACACAATTCTAAAATTTGATACAACTTAAATGAAAATATCAAAATAGGTACCTTGTGAAACTTTTTTATATATATTTTCCCCTTAAATTGACCTACACAATACAAATACAAACTAATTAAACCTCAATGTGGGGCTTGGTCCAAGTTCTAGAACTTTCCCCACACAGGTAACAATACAACCTACAAAACAGGTGCCTCGTGAAACTTCAACATATTAGCCCCTTAATTTTGATCAACACAATACAAATACCAACTAATAGAGCCTATATGTAGGGCTTGGTCCAAATTCTAGAACTTTCCACACACAGGTAACAATACCACCTACAAAATAGGTGCCTTGTGAAACTTTTACACATTTACCCCTAAAATGGACCTATATGATGCAAATACGAACTAATTTAGCCTCAATGCAGGGACAAGGTCCAAGTTGTAGAATCGGCCACACACAACTAACAATACAACCTATAAAACACGTGACTCGTGAAACTTTTACTCATTTTCCCCTTGAATGAACCGACATGTAAATACGAACTAATCGAGCTTGAATGTGGAACCATCCCCATACAGCTAACAAAACAACCTACTATAAAACAAGAGATTCATGAGCTTTTTACGCATTTACCCCTTAAATAAACCTGCACTATAAATACAACCAAATCAAGCCTCAATGTGGGCCCTAGTCCCAAGCTCTAGAAACTTCCTCACAAAGCTAACAATACAACCTATAAATTAAACACCATCCTTCTACAAAAAAAATTCCTCTGTCTCTCTCGTCAACTTTCAGTAAACTATAGGTACGAATATGGAGGTGACATCAGAGTTATTTCCATCTGTCGAAGGGCTAACCCCAACTGAAGCCAGATCAATGATTCTTCCTTATATTTTCCGATTCTTCGTCTCTAATTCATGACAAGAATTTGTATGTACTATTGTGGTCCTGGTGAACGCAACAAACAACTCAATCTCTTTCATCTAAGTTCATCCTATTAATGCAGAACCTATTTTGGAAGAGGTTGTACCTGCATCAAGATCTTCCATTGAAGCGATACCGATGGTTAAGGTTTTAGGTGAAGGGATTGATTGCTCTATATGTTTGTCGGGTTTTGAAATTAGCGAGGAAGCTAAGGAGATGCCTTGTAAACATCATTTTCATTCGATTTGTATTGATAAGTGGTTGGGGATAAATGGATTGTGTCTGATCTATAGGTATAAGATGTCAGTGGATGAACAATGTGAGAAGAAAGATGAAGAAAGTGGTGGAGATGAAAGAGGTGATGATGGTGGAAGTCATATGGAGGAAGATGGTGTGAAGTTTATTTTTCATGTTATCATTACACCAGAGACTACACACTTAACAGTGTCGATAACAGAAGTGCATAGGCATTTTGATGATATGTTGTTAGAGGTTGGAGATTGCGTTGTATACGAAGTTGGAAATGGCGATGTATCCGAAGTTGGAAATGGCGATGAATCTGAAGCTGGAAATGGCGATGAATCTCAAGCTAGAAATGTATCCGAAAATGGAGATGGCAATGAATCCGAAGCTAGATATGGCAATGTATCTGAAGCTCAAGATGGAGATAGCGAAGAAGACGATTAATCCAAAACTCAAGATATGGTCATTGATAATAATTAATTTAGTTATTTTCCTTATTCGTTTTCGGTGTTTTCTGCTTAGCTTAAATATAAAAAGTTGTTTGAACAAAATATTGTGCAATTTTAATTAGGATGACGAAGCTAATGGAGATGACCTAGCTCAAGATATAGTCATTGACAACAAACAATCTGTTTTTTACTTATTTGTTTTGGGTTTGTTCTAGTTTAATAGAACTGAACTATTAAGATTTCCCTAGAGCCTGATTAGAAAGTTGACACCAATATGTTAGCCTTACTAGTATAAGTAAGGAAGCTTTTACCTATATATATTGATTGTGGCGAGTGCAATGACATATTGAATTATCAATTGCTCTATTAAATTTTAAAAATATTGATGTTGCATATTTTCCCCAATATTTTCTTTGGTCTTCATATTTACAGGACATGTATTTTTCCATATCTCCAAGTTGACCATGATAAGAGCTATGTTTTGTATATCCCATTGAGAGGTTTAATCCTCCACCAATTCTACAAAGTGCATATGGTATTTAACATAGGAGCATTGATTCCCATTTCCTAGTAGTAGTGATCCAAAGAAGCTCCACAATTGCCTATACAAATAGATGCTCTAAAGATTCACAACAAGCGTTACTATAACATTTACTAACACTTGTTTACCAAATTTAGTTAGATTTCATTAGAAGGTAATTTCCTTTTCAACAATCTCCAACAGAGGAATGATATATTAAATGAAACTTTGCTATGTCACACATGGTTTATAAATTTCATTCTAGGGTAGGGAATCAGTGATGATTTGTCACACTCTCTTATTGGAAAAATTACTGCCCATAGAGTGTTTTCAGACCTCTTCTCCCATGTTCACTTCAATATGACATTAACAGTACTTTCTAGTAGGATGATATTCAATTTGGTGGGTGTATACCAGGTGTGGGTAAGTTTTTCCCATAGACATTCCTTTCACAAAATTAAATCACTTTGATTTTCAGTTATGAGGTAAAATACTAAATAACTTTTGAGATGATATATAACTAAATAAATAATTTGTTTTTTTCGGTTTATCAATTTTATTTTTCTAAATCTGAATCAAACAAAAAAGAGTAATTGAATTCTTAACTCAAAACCAAACAAAAACCAAAAAAATAAAAGGAAAACCAATTCAAATTAATTAACATTCGGTTCGATTTGGTTTGATTTTTCGATTTAATCAGAAAATGCATACCCTACTCTTTAGTGATACAATTGATAAGGCAGTTAATCAAGTTCATGTCTAATTTAGCTTGTTGTTGGTTAAAGATTTTTAATGAAAATATCTGATGGTTGTTTTTGGTATTTTATCCTCCCCTTAATCCATTTTCCTTTGGTTTTTGATTCTATATGGAGACTCAACTTGCTTCTTTTCTCTTTGATCAAATTGTGAAAATATTTGTTGTTACAGTCCCGTTGTTCAAACCAATCATTTTTTTAAATAAAACCATCCGTCCAGTTATCCTGGGATGATGAAGGGTTAGGCATAGACCCCAACCTCATTTATTAATATCCAAAAGATACAAAAGAAGAGTAGGGAGGTGTGTCTTGCCTCATTAAGGAGCAACCAAAAAAACTAACTTGTTCAAACCAATCTACTTGTGTCCTGGTAGTATCAGAATTATCATCAATGTCTTTATCACAATTTGTGGCCCTTGACCGGTCACTCAAGGGGTTGTTTGGTAGGGTGTATTATAAATGTTTGCATTCGTTATGCTAAGATGGTTTGGTGTATTAAAAATAACATGCATGCATTGCATAATTTCTCAAAATATATTTTCTTACAAAAATACCCTCCACAACTAGGATGGAAAGGATGTGGAAAAGGCTTTGAGGGAATAATAGTACCTTTAATCATGTATAAAAAAATTTTGAATTATTAATGGGAAAAGGCATAAATTGTCCCCTAAACTTGTACCCAAAAATCACTTACACACTTTAACTAATGGGGCAATCTATTACACACCTTAAGTACATAAAAGTGTATTTATTTCCCCTTCCGTCACCCAACCCAGGACATTATGCATTGAGTGAGAGCCACTCGCCTCCTAGTGAAGCCACGTAGTAAAAGACCCCAACCTGATTGATTTGACCCAAACCTGTTTCTTTTTACCCAAACCCATTTCTTTTCACCCAAATCCATTTTATTTTACCCTAGTCCATTTATTTCACCCACCCGTTTCGTTTCTCTAAGAACACCAAAACCTAATCAAAAATTTCATCCGTAAATTCTAATTTTAGCTAAAGATTTCTTCAATTCTGTAGTGTTTTTGAAGCATCCTTGTAGTTTTAATCACCTAATCAAGTTTTCACTGTCATATTTGAAGAACATTGGTGTATACAATCGACGCGTTCATTATTTGGTGGAAGCAAATCGGTGGTTACTAGGGTTTGGTGGTTACAATCGAGGTGTTCATCGTTCATAGTGTGTTGTCGTCTCCATATCTGGAGACATCTCTAGGGTTACTTCATAGTTCATACTTTTTAGCTTAGGGTTATTTCGTCTTTATTTTTTTCTAAGTTTACTATATGTCGTCTTTCATTCACATGATTCCCCTTTGTTGTTGTATGAATTTTGTTGTTGTATGTGTTTTGTCGTTGTTGTTGAGGGTCAACTGTTAACATTATTTTCAGGTTAAAATGTCTTTTGAATTGATAACTTTGAGATTTTACCACGGTGGTATTATGAAGATTGGAAAAAAGGGATACAAGGGGAAACCATATCATGGTGGAGGAGTTTATGAGTTCTTAGATGTTGATATAGATAGGTTGTCTTATTTTGAATTGAGGGATTGTCTGAAAGAGTTGGGGTATGAACCTGGACAATGTGTGATGTATGTGAAACTTCCTAGAAGTACTGTCATGTTAGAAATTAAATCTGACTATGATACTACTTTAATTGCTAAGTGTTTGAGTCATGGAGATATTTTGGACTATTTTGTGTGTCATTTTGTCACTGATCCAGTTTTGGTCCCACCTTCATTGGAATATGGGAAAGTGGAGTAGGTGAGGGAGCATCTCAAAACAGTGGGCCTAATGCATCTTTTGATGCTGAATTAGAACCAACACATGAGGCCTAAGAAAATGGCTCAAACCTTGCCCCTGCCCCTGCCAATTCAAATACATATTCCCATGTACACTATTTCACTACTCCAAATACTCCTCCTCCTACTCATCAAACTCCAACCCCTATCCATCCTTCTACTAATCCAACTGTTGACCATGTCCATCCTTCATCTGATCCAATTCATATCCCTGTCCATCCTTCTAATGAACAAGATTCAGATAGAGAATCCAATAAATCATTGAATGGGGGATTTAATAGGAGTGATGTAGATGATGAGCTAAGAAGTTTTAGGGAGGAAAGGAGTAAAAGAAAGATAAGGGAAAGGGGAGAAAGAGCTCAATTGCCTGATCATGTCAAGTTAGGAACATAAAAAAAGGGCCAGCTACTGGTATGATGAATCTACAGGTGGTAATATAAACAACTTAGAAGGCAAGCTAGCTGGCGATGAGCCTTACTATCCTTCAGATGAAGCTGCCAGTTTTGAAACAGATCCAAATGCTTTCAGTGATGATGAATGAGAGGTTCAACAAAGAGAGAGAGTTAAACCAAGAAGGAGAAAAAAGGTTAATAGAGCTGTATTTGATGCATCTTCTCAGAAAATAGGGCAGAAATTGGGTCTTGTATTTGAAAGTGTTAATGTGTTTAGATCTGTTGTTACCAAATATGTTGTTGTTGAACATGTTGCAATTGAAATGTATATTAATGAACCAACAAGGGTAAGGGTTAGGTGTACAGATGGTTGTCCTTGGGTTTTATTTGCAAGCTTTGATTCTAGGACAAATAATTTTGTTGTAAAGAGATACAATCCAGTTCACAAATGTGATCCTACTAATAGGAACAAGCTTTGTAATAGCAAGTTCTTTTCTAGTCACTACAGTGAAAGGATAAAGGAACAACCTGACATTAGAATCTTTGAGTTTCAAGGGCTTATTAAAAAAGAATTGGATTTATATGTAGGAAGAATAGTGTGTAGGAAAGCAAGAAACAAAGTATTACTGGAGCTAATGGGTGACTATGTTCTTAAGTTTGGGAGGATTTTGGACTACAAAGATGAGTTGTTAAGAACTAATTCAGGTAGAACATGTGTAGTCAAGCTTCATGAGGAAACATTTGAAAATGGTAGGAAAAAGTTTCAAGGCTTCTACATATGTTTTGATGCAATGAAGAAGTCCTTCTTGGCTAGTTGTAGGAAGTGCATTGGTTTGGATGGTTGTTTTCTAAAAGGAGTATCTAACGGTCAATTATTGGTTGTTGTTTGTAAAGATGGGAACAATCAAATGCTGCCATTAGCTTGGGCAGTAATTGAAGTTGAAAATAAGTTTACTAGGGCTTGGTTTGTCAGTCTTCTAAAGGAAGATCTTCAGTTGGGAGATGGTACAGACCTCACAATCATATCAGATATGCAAAAGGTTAGAATATTTATTGGTTTTTTTATTTATTTCATGTCTTGAATTTATTTATGAATGTCTTAGTTTCTTTAATATCTTACTTTCTTAGTTTCATGTCTTGAATTTTCTTATAGGGTCGTGAAATTGCCATAACTAATTATTTGCCAAATGTTGAGCATAGAATATATGCTAGACATATCCTTGCTAACTGGTCAAAGAGATGGAGAGGTGTTGAGAGAAAGAAATTTTTCTAGAGGTGTGCAAGGTCTACTTTTGAGGCTGAGTTAAAGGATAACATTAGTTATATGAAAAGGTTGGGCCATAAGATAGTTGATAACTTGTTGTATTATAATCCTGAAAGATGGAGCAAGGTTTCCTTCAATTTTACTTCAAAATGTGATGTTGTAGACAATAACATGGCTGAATGTTTCAATTCATGGATATTAGCAGCAAGTCATAAGACTATAATTACAATGCTTGAAGAAATTAGGGTGAAAATGATGG